CTGCGGCCAAGATCAAAGAGGTTTTTGCCTGCTTTCTCCTCCAGCATCTTGAGATATTGTATTCTATCATATGTTTGGTAAATTTGTCTCTAAGAACAGGACTCAAATAGGAAAGAAAGCAAAATAAAGTTTGACTTTTAAAAGACTGGGAGATTGGGGTGCCTGGGTGGCTCAGTCAGTTAAGTGTCTGACATCAGCTCAGGTCATGATCTCAGAGTTTGTGAGTTTGAGCCCCGTATGAAGGCTGCTTTGTATTCTATGTCTCCCTGTCTCTCACTGCCCCTCCCCTGCTCATGCTCTGTCTCTCTCTCTGAAGTAAAGAAACATTTTTTAAAAAGACTAAAATAATAAAAATAAAAGTGAAAAGATAAAAAACTTGGAGAGAATAATTTTATATCTTGCTCAAGAAATCATGAAAAAGGAAGTTTTTTTGAAAATTCATGCATTTTAACAAAAGACAGTTTAGTGAATTTTTAGTTGCCTGAACATTCTGATTTCTTGTTCTCTGGGGTTTCTTTGTGTCTATTATCTACTGCTCCAGTAAAGGAGAGGTAAAATTAAAAGAAGGACACCCATTCAGAAAGTTCAACTCTGGTTTTGTTTTTCAGTGATTACCATCAATTGGATTAATAATTTCTTTAGACTCACCAGGAATCAAAGAATAGAAAATACACAAAAGGAAATGAGAGAAAAAATCAAAGCATGTCAATGCAAAATTTGATGAAGCACAAAGGAATGTAGCAAGAGAAGAAAACAAAGAGAAAATAACAAGACACAAAATAATTAAAACAATAGTCTTTCCCTATTAGTAATTACTTTAAATGTAAATGGATCAAACTCTCCATTTGGAAGACAGAGTGGCTACATGGATTAAAAAATAAGATCAAAGTCTCTTCTGGCCGCAAGAGACTCACTTTAGAGGTAAAGACACACATAGGCTGAAAGTGACAGGATGGATAAGATACTCCATGTAAACGGTAACTGAAAGATGGCAGAGGGGGCCATATGTATTAGGATGGCTACTATCAAAAAATACAAAATAACAAAATAGCAAAAATGTGGGGAAATTCAAACCATTGTGCACTGTTCATGGGATTATAAAATTATACAACCACTATGGAAAAGGATAAGAAATTTCCTCAAATATTTAAAAATAGAATTAGCATTGGATCCAGCAATCCTACTTCTGGGTATACATCCAAAAGAATTGAAAACTAGATCTTTGAGACAGATTTACACCCATGTTCACTGCAGCATTATTTATAATAGCTAAATTATGGAAGCAACCTAAATGGAAATGTGCTATAGAAATGCAATGGAATATTATTCACTCCCCAAAAAGAAGGAGGTCCTGGCATATATGCCTCAACAAGGATGAACCTTGATGACATTATACTAAATGAAGTAAGTCAGTCACAGAAGGAGACATCATGCATGACTATACTTACATGACGTTCTCAAGTAATCAGACACTTAGAAAGTTGAATGGTGGTAGCCAGGGTTGGTGGGGAGGGAAAACAGAGTTGCTCAATGGGTGCAGACTTTTAGTCATGAGAAATGAAAATGTTCCAGAGATCTATTGTACAATAGGGTGCATATAGTTGACAGTAATGTGCTGTACATTTAAACATTGCTACAAGGATATGTATTTACATTATGTGTTTTTTACTGCAATAAAAAAATTGCTAGAACGCACTGATATTTGGAAAGATAACACAACAGTTTCATATTCTAACCCATCCTTAAAATTGCATTCAATTGAAAATTCTGTAATGTCATTTTTGGGGGTCTAAAAATCTATTAAAATAGTTATTTGTCTTTTAAAACTTTAATCTGGCGATATGACAAGCTTAAATAGCTTAGGAAATTCTACTTTATATCTTTTTTGGATATTCAGTCGACACTGTTGGATGTGTTTCACGTTTCCTTCTTTCAAATTTTAAATAGTTTGTAAGCCTATAATGAGAACTGTTCCAGTAGACTCCCTGCTGTTTCTTGCCTGATAAAAGGACTGGAAGTTACTGCATTCTACCTTTGTCCCCATAGAAAGACTTTGAATGAATGGCATCTCATTGAATGTGTATGTGTGTGGGGCAGGGGGGGAGGGGGTGTCTGTGTTATTTTGCCAATTGGTGACGGGGACATATTTTTGATGAAAATAACTTTGTTTTTTTCAGGTGACTTTGACTGATTTTCCACTGTCTTCAGTGGAACTTCCAAATTAGTGTCCTCTCGAGAAGTTGCAACAAGCACAATACAATAGCAGTAATTCAATTTTAGTATATGTGCTGCCGAAGCGAGCATTCAATAGCAGTAATTCAAATGCGAGTCTTGCCCTAACAAATGTATTCCTAGTGACCCTTCTTTCCTTTTGTTCCCTCTCTCTTCTCCCACAGTCCTTCCCCGCCTAGGAGAATCACAAGGAGGGTAGTCTACTTTCCCAGCAAGGTACTTTCCATACCAATCTTCTGCCCTTAGTGGGTGCTGATTTGTCCCTTATTCCTTCTAAACCCCCAGGTCCGCTTGCTTCTCTACAGACCTATCTCATATTTCTATTACTGTATTTCAAGTTATAGTGGAACACTGACCTTGAACAAACTCCTTAACATCATTTAAAAATACTTTCAATTTCAGGGGCAACTGAGTGGCTCTGTTGGTTAAGCCTCCAACTCTTGATTTGGCTCAGGTTATATCTCATGGTTGTGAGATTGAGCCCTGGGGTCTGTGCTGGGCACGGAGCCTGCTTAAGATCCTCTCTCTCCCTCTTTCTCTCTCCTGCGGGTGAGCACACGCGTGCACGCTCTCTCTCTCAAAAAAGAAAATTCAAAAAAAATACTTCTAATTTGGAAGTGATTTTATTAGATTTACAGAAGTGTTAGAAAACAGTGCAAAATTCCTTTGTATCTCTTGCCCATCTTTCCCTAAATTAATATCTTATAAAATCATGGTAGATCTATCAAAACTAGGAAATTAACATTGGAATAAAACTTTAAACTACAGACTTTATTCATATTTCACTAGTTTTC